GGGAGAATATATTTTTTTTACTGTTAGTTAGTAGGTATACTGGAAAGGTTCTGGCTCACCTCCCCCTTTCCACTAAGATAGTAGTGGGGAGCTGTAGCGCAAAAGTATGTAACTGTCTGCCCTTGTGGCGCGACATTTTTTTGAACATTTTTTTAACATAAAATTCATAAAATATTGCAGTTTTGGTGAAATGACCCATATTTGTAGTAGTTTCAAAAAACCAAAAAATTTTCATAGTCCTCACAAAGACTGATTATTAATTTTTTCAATATACATCCATATTTCTTGAGATAGTAGAAAATATTTTTAGAATAATAATCTCCCTTTTTTTCAGTTAAGATGCCTCAACACTCTTTTCTACAAGAGGTTTTTGGCTATTTTCATTCTCCTTACTGGGGCTTGAATATTTGGGTTTGCTGTAGTATAGACCTATGTTTTTGATGTTGACTGCTTACTCGTCACAGGATAACTAAATCTTTATGGAAATTTCAACCGGTTTATAAAAAGACACTAATTGCAAGACATTATTTTTTGAGCCCACGTTTTATGCTTTGTTCTTTTTTCTTCGTTTTCTTATTTGCCCACACACGATCATCGTTTTTGGCATCAACATTATTATGAGTTTCAAAGTCACTAACAGTATCAGAAATGTTAGGTCCATCAACGATATCCTAACTGGAAAGCATTTGATATGATTGATATTTCAAAATATTTATTCGTACTTAATATCTTTAAATTAACCGAAGTATAATTTTTAAAAGGAGATATTAGATCTTTTAAAAGACGTTAAATATTTTTTATTTAGCTAGCATAAATCAGTCATACCTCCGGATAAAGCACTACCCAAATCTACAATTATATTTCATAATATTGCCTGTAAAAAACAAGATAATGTAAAAGCTTTTTTCTGCGTGGGGCATCACAAAAATTTTATGCTCAAGTTCCAAAGCATTTAGTCAGAAATAATTTAAACCAGGATTATTTCGATAAGATGATATGAATTTTAAACAAATCTATAATGATCTTGGTAATACCGACATGGCATATAGTGATTTTAAAAAATTATAATTGTTAAGGAGGTAAAAAACATAGATTTGTAGTAATGAACAAGGGAAGAGATATGAAAAATAGTAGACATAAGAAAGGATTTGACTTCTTTGCAATAAATATTACTTATTTTTATTAAGTATACCCTTTGTTAACTATCAAGCGGTAAATATAAATGCATTTAAAAATAAAAACACGTTCTTAAACAAATTTAAAAAGTGTAGAACCTATTGAACGTAAACATCGATTGTTAAAGTTAGGAAAAGAAAGTTTTAAAAAACGAATCAGTGAGACGTTTAAGCCTATTACTGATCTAATTTGTAAAATTATCTACGAAACAAGTAAGTAAACAAAGGTTTGGAAAGCTTCAAATCTTTATTTAAAGAGCCTTTCGAGCCTCTCAAGCTATTTAAACTAAAAAAAAATAGTATTGACACATCAATGTTTGAATCGGCTAATATTGAGAGTTGATACCGTCCGGGGTATTATTTTATTAATTATTAAAATAATTATTATTCTTTAAATTTAATCGTTTTACATAAATTTGATTGTTTCATGTCGCGCGCAGCTCCAATTTGAGTTTGAACTGTGCGCTTGATAGTACTACCTACCGCTTGCTAGGTGGCAACTACTATTTTCTAGTAAACATTGCAAGTAAGAAAGTAGCTTATAGTATATAAGAAGGGCTGCGCGATTTCTCGAAATCCTCTACCCTGATAATTTGATGGAAAGCCAAAGCTAGGTTCTTGCTCGCTCGACGAGATCTATGCTACGGCAGTGGCTAGAGCACTAATTAGTTTTAATAAAACACCAATGTTCAATACCACGTTAAAATCAGCGTGTTGACTCTTACTTCACCCTTTTCTCGCTATCATTGTCCACATAACGTGGCACTTTGTCTAACCACTGTGAGAATCTGTCAAATATACTGGTAACGGGCTCTATTTGACTGCTGCGAATCACTACCCAACCACCAACCGTCTGCACCAGCTCCAGTAGTGGCATCGGAATCCAGCAGAAGCACTGCCTAACTATGCCTAGAGCCTCCAATCTAACGTTTTCACCGTTGATTGATCTCTACAGCCGATTTGACATCCTTGGAGAGCATTCTCGCCCAGACTAACTCCCTTTCGCTGTTTAAAGCCGCCCTTCCTAATAGGCTAATTTTAACGAAGTGATGATAAAGAAAATACTTTTCCATAGAATGTTTTTATCAACGACTATGATACTGATGTTGAAAAAAATATTACAGATGATAATTAAGCACATCATATTAATATTACTTTATTCATGAATTTTTATTTAAAAATACTTGATAAAAATTCGCCAGTACAAGATTAAATTTGTGGGATATGATAAGAAAATACGAGCAGTATGTATTTGATGATTCACCCATTTATTTCAAAAATAATCAAATTAAAATGAAGCATCCAAAATATCTAATGACTGATGAGTTGATGAAGTTACTCATTGAAAAGCATCTCAATAAAGCATTCACAACTCTAGATAGTTTAACTCAA